TTCCAGTAACCTTCTAATTTTACCATTCTTGCATAATAATGATTATGCAAAGGTTGCACAAAATAAGGCACTGGGAGAGCATATGAACATGACTTTTTCCACAAGTTTACAATTTTACATTAGAAGAGAAAAATGTCAGAGGGAGGGAAGGGGAAGTGAAGTATTGTGGCATTTCGCCTGTCTCGCGTTTCCATTCAACTGATAACGGACACACTCGCACCTTGCGTAATATAAAAGATTAATAAAGTATAAAGTATAAATCCGCGTCATCAAAATCGCTCGGTTAATTTTATTCGATATACGCGTCAAGCGGTGGTCGTCTCGTCGTGTCTCCATTCTCGGCAAGTGTCTTCTCGAGTCAAGTCCCGAAAAATTTTCTTCAACTGCGCGCGCAGTTCGTGTTTATCGAAGGTATTTCCTCGGCAGAGGACGTGTCGAGCATGCTCCTGCTATGATGCTGCCGAACTGACACACGCGCAGCTGTTTTCTCCCCCCCCCTTCCCCTCTCTCGTCCCCTTCCTCCCCCTCGTCTGCCGCGAGGACACGCACGGACGCACGCACACGTGTGCGTCCGTGTTGTTCGGCGGAGGAAAAAGATCCGGCGTGCTACCTGCGCCTGAAACTGCCCCGGCAGGCACAAAGAAACGAGCGGCGGCGAATAGTAGTGGGTCGAGAGAGCCGGGCCAAGGAACACGCGGCAAAGAGGAGCGACGAGAGGTGAGAGAGGAGAGAGGAGGACGAGGAAGAAAGAGACGGAGAGAGGGATCAACGACGGACGACGAGAGATCTCGAGGGAATTACGCGTGGAGGCACCGTAAGAGAACGAGATAGAAGAAAAAATGCCGAGGACTGAAAGCAAGCAAGCGAGCAAGCGAGCGAGCGAGCGAGCAAGGAAGGAAGAAAGAAAGAAGCGGATCGTCGCCAATATACGTTTTACAGGGAATTATATGTATACTTGTACAACATGTTATATCCAATAAAATTAGAATAAAAATTATATGTATATTAATTTATGTATGTATTTCTTTTCCCTGTATTTTCCTCTCTCTCTTTCTCTCTCTCTCTCTTTGATCACTTTGCGTAACTGTAATTTTGTAATGGTTTTTAACCTTGTCTGAAGGATTAAAACATCAATTGTGAGTAAATTTATACCACATGCTCATGTCAAAATACTGTTAACGTTACCAAAAAATTGCCTTATGTACCAGAAAAAGTTGTAGACACGTGGATTAATTCTTAAATTAACGTAGCTAAAAATTTTCGCCCGAACCCATGAAAAAATTCACTTGTAACGGAAATGTCGCGTGTATAGCAATTAAAGGACAGCGGAAAAACCGACTGAGGAAAGCTTATCACTTTTTTTTTCATCATACTCGAACGCCTACATTGCGATTGTGTGCCTTTTCCGTGCACAACTTTTGTAAAAATATACCGCCGCTTTATTTATCTTATTGCTTTACCGTCGCACGATACCCCTCGCGTTTGCTGTTATCGTCACGATTGCATTTTCTCCTTTCCCTACGATTTCTGTTTAGTCATACTCATTCTGGCGGGTCTTACCCCGAATAATAAAATAGATTCCTTTCTCCGTCTTGCCTCCTCTCGCCGCCACTTTCGTGTGTCTCGATCTCTTTCTCTCTTTCTGTCTCCTTCTCTCTCGCGCTGTCTACCGCCGCAGATGGCTGTCACTGTTCCACTTTATACGGGAGCGCGATTTCCCGAGATATCCTCTACCTACTATACCTACTACTACACACCACCTCCGCCGCCGCCGCCGCCGCCCGCGTCGCCCCTCGCCCCTCGTTTCTTTCTCGGAGCTGCTCACCGCGCGCGGTATGCCAACCTTCCACTCCACCATATTTCTCTCGCGTACTCGTACGGAGTATATACGGCGGCAGGAGGTGGGTAGTGGAGGTGGATGGATCCGCGCTGCGGCCCCCACGGACGCCTACGAGAGCACGTATACAGGCGGTTTCAGGAGGATAGGTCGATACTTCGGGGAGCAACCGCTCACTGTCGCGGGGGTTATCGGGTGCTCTCTCAGGCAAAACCGGGGGAGAAAACCCTTTACCCTCCTCGTCACGGAAATTCCGCGGAAATCTTATTTAAGCTGGCGAAACATCATTACTCGTCCTCCGCGGATTTTAAATTCGCTTTTTTTTATTTGTTTTAAATTAGCATCGTTATTTCCTCTTTTTTTTTTTTTTTTAAGTGAAGTGTGCGACAGAATGTGTACGTGAAATATGAACGAGAATTTTTTAAAATGTAATAAAAATGTGTCACTCGTGTTTTACGTCCGTTTCATTTTTTTGTTTTGTTTCATCTCACCCTCTTCGCTCCCCTTTCGCGGCCAGATTACTGTGGCGTATGTATCGGTTACGCGTCGTGCGAATATTTGAATATAACACGCGGCGATTTACGGGTCGAATACTGTATAAAAGGTATCCGTGAGGTAACAAAAGATGCAGGAAGAGTAAGACGTCTACGTTGGGGAACTTGAGAAACTCGGCGACTGATAAGATAAACAGAACGACGACATAGTGATGTTGCGAAAAAGGTTTCGTGGAACGCGCGTCTAATTTCGAGTAATCTTCTAGAAGTGTACAATCGCGATTTGATAATAAGCGGCCGAGAGAATGGACGCACCACCGTCTCAAGTTTTAACGTTTCAGCATTTGGCATTTCCGAGCCGATAATACTCAATGAAAGAACAACGCCAGCAATTGAGAAGCTTAAAAAACTTGCTTTCAATCTCGCATTCACACTCGAGAAACTTCCGACACACGCTCGTAAGAATGCCTTTATTTGGAATGATAAACGAGGAATGTGAGAGATAAGGTCGTCCCTTCCGTATCTCGGAGTATTCACGAATCCTCCAAGATTTTTCGAAATCTTGGCGAAATCTTGTTTTGTCGAATGTACATATATAACAATACCTAAAAACATATATCTATCTGAAAATATCTAAATCTTGTTGCTCTTGTGCCTTCTTTAATCTGATCTTAATCGAGATATACACCGAGCACATTCGCTTTTCGTGCGCAGGATCGCGATCAGATGACATCATCCCCCGGGTGGAAAAGTAAAAAAATTTCTTCTACTATCTTCGACGATAAAAATTTTCACTTCTCTTTCGTTTTCGCCTCGGGTGAAAAAGTATTAAAAAAATTGTACGATCGCCGTCTTCACGACGACGCTGTTGAAAAAGTGGCGACCTGAAACGACGAGCGACAACGCTTTGTTCCTTTCCCGCAGCATCGACCGCCGCTTCTGACACACCCGGTATACCGCACGCACCGGGCGTACATGCACTTTATCCCTCTCTTTCTCTCTCTCTCTCTCTCTTTTCTTCCTCTTCCTCCTCCTCTTTTCAGCGTCCAAAAGTGCACCGGCACGAAGGACGAGTCTGCACACACGTTCGTTCTCTCTACCCGGGTCTCTCTATTCTGCTTTCCCTTCCTCTCTCCCTCCCTCCCCCCCTCCACTCTCTCTCTCTCTCTCCCTCGTGCGCTCTTTCTCCTCTTTCTTTACGGAGCCGGAGCATGGGGCGAGGTCCGATTCGAACGCACGTCGCGCTCGTGGGAAAAATAGAAGCGACAAGAGCGCGAGACACGCACCGCGTCCGCAGGCCTTCTGGGCGTCGCGACGGCTCTCCTCTCGCGCGTCTCTCTCCACCTACGGAGAGACCACCGCCGTATCCCCCTCGCTCGGGATCTGCACCGCTCAGGGATAAGCGACTCCGACGCCCGCGCTCGAATCGCGGGGGAGACGAATCCGCCGCCGTTCGTTCGTTCGTTCGTTCGTTCGTCGTGCACGTCGCCGGATATCACGAACGTTTCAGCTGACCGACGATAATTCCTCGTGATTCATCCCGCGCGCCTTTACGTTTCTTTATACCCTGCACAGGCCCGGCCTGCGGTGTGGCTTTCCGCCTCGGTTCACCGAGTACGCGTCTCGTTTCGTTTCGTTTCGTTTCGTTTCGTTTCCACGCGCAGAGAATGTGATAAAAGCCGCGGTCAAGAGGCGCGGACATATTTCTGCCTGATTGCGGGCGAAAAAAAGGGGGGAAAAACCGGGAGAAGGGGGGCGTGACACGTCGCGATAGGCGATTAGTCATTAAAAAAATATAAAAAATAAAAATACGACATGCGAAACACACTTTACGCGAACGGCAATAAAACGAGCGTGTGCCTTTTGTAAAATCGTGCGACTTCCACCTCTGCCCGCGTGTCGTGTGACTTTGCATATGTATATACTCTTTCCAGTGTTGGCTCAATTTTAAACCACGCTTCCTAGTGCCTTTCCAGCGAGCTTGCTTCTCCTTCCGAGCGATTGTTGTCGGAATGCAATTGTCTCGAATTAAGAGCGGGGAGCGTAAAAAGACGCAGTTAAAGCCTCAGGTGCGATCGAGATCTACGCGATCTATTCTTCTCGACTCCGTACTTTCTCTTCAACCACCTTCTCGGACGCGAACATTTGTCTTTTTTTTTATCTTTCTCTCTCTCTCTCTCTCTCGCCGAGAGCCTATATAAGCTTATCTCAGAATGTAGTAAACTGCGTGAGAGAAACAATTGAAGTTAATCACAAACCATTGTATTGTAAAACGAGAAGGACTGTGTAATCTTTAATAAAATTATACGTTTCTATTAGTTAAACGATTATCCGTGTCCTGTCGTCCGTTTCTCTCCCCGTTCGCTCCGTTTTTCAACGCGGTCAGATTACGCGAATGCGACCTAAAAAAAAAAACGACCGAGCCACCGCACGAGAATCGGGATCGCGATGACGCGATCTCTCTGCGAGTTCGGAGGGGCCCACACATTCGATGCTCGCGAGGTCGCGTTCTCCCCGTGGTGTTCTTTATCGCAGACACGAGTAATTCTCCTCCCCCCCCCCCTCTTTCCCTTCCCTTCCCTGCCAAACAGCACACTCTCTCGAAAGAGATCGCCGAAATCGCGGCGAGAGTTCCCCGGCGAAGGGAATAGGAGGACATCACCACTCACCTCTCGCGATGCAGCAAGCAGATGCGCTCCTTGGCCACCTTCAGCTTCTTGGAGATGATCTTCTTGAGATTCTCCACGGTGTCGTTGCGGTCCACGGCGAGCTCGAACTGGCCGCCGGTGGTCGGCGTGATGCACACGGTGATCTCGTCCTTGTCGACCGCGGTGGCCGCGGCCACGCAGCCACACCCCGGCTGCGATGCCGGTGGCAGCTGCGGCTGCGGATGCAGCGGCGGCAGCGGTTGCTGCTGCGTCGTCGTCATCGTCGAGCAGGAGGTAGTAACAACGGCAGAGGCGGCTGCTGCGGCGGCGGCGGCGGCGGCGGTGGCGGAGGCAGCGGCAGCGCCGCGCGGCCCCGGGGACGCGGCCCTTATCGAGCCCCGGTCACGACACTCGACGGGATCGACGGCGGCATCGTCGGCGATAGGTGCGGCGGCGGGGGCGGCACTCGCGTCGTCATCGTCGACCGTCCGCATCTTCGAGGCGGTGGTAGTGGCGGCTGCGGCGGCGGCAGCGGCGTCGTCGCTCTCGCTTCCCATCGCCGACGCTACGTCCGACGTTCGCGGCGGGCCCGCGGTGTCGTCCATCCTGCCACGGTGCCCGTAGACGGGAGACCTACCGTCGACCGCGGGTGGCACTGCACGCGCGGATGTTTCTATATGTCCAAAACGTTCGACAGTGTGTGAGTGTGAGTGTGTGTATATGTGTGCGTGCGCGGCGAGGACAACGGCGCGAGGCAAGGACGAAGACGTCGACCGCTCGCGCTCGGCGACTACGCTTTCCGCCGCTACGCGCTCGCGTGTACACGTCCCTTCCCCGTCTGCCGAACGCCTCCTTCTCCTTCTTCTGCTCCTCCTCTTTCCTCCTCGCCCGCCGGCCGCGTCGACTTCTTCACCTTCCTCCCCCTCTCTCTCTCTCACGAGGGACCTCGCGCGCTCTCCTACGTGCTCGCCGTGCTCGCGGCGCGTACGTCGTCGTCGTCGTCGTTACCGCCGTCTATATGCATGCACCTGCACCTCTATACTCCACTCCCGGCGTCCCGTCGCCGCTTCTCCTCCCCTTCCCGCTCCTTCCTCCTGGCCGGCCGCGAACGGAGCGTCGCTCGGACGACGGACGGGCGAAGGCAAGCCGGCACCCCGAGGAGAGCGTAGTCGCCGCTTCGCGGAGCCGCGCACGCGGTGAAAGAGGAGGCGGCGGACGAAACGAAATTGAGACGAAGAG